GAACCCCAGAGAGGGGCCTGACAACTGAAGGCTCCACCCTTCAGTCTGCTTTAAAAACCTCAGGAACCACAGACCAATCGCGGTTTCTTGTGTCCAGACGCGGCTCCAGGCGGGCAGCGGCTACCGGAGCACTCTGCACTGCATCCTCAGCATCTACAGGAAGGAGACGGTAAGCACCCCCACCCTCCCCTCAGCTGGGAATGGAGGTCCAGACCCTCCAGGGGGGGGCGTTTCCCAGAGCCCAGCGGGCCGGAGTCGGGTCAAACTCTGAAGCGGCTGTTCTCCTCTCAGGTGGCCGGCTTCTTTAAGGGCATGTCTTTCCCGCTGGCCAGCATCACCGTCTACAACTCGGTTGTGTTTGGCTTCTTCAGCAACGTTCAACGGCTCATCAGCACCTATCGCTACGGCGACGGGCGCCACCCCTGCGGGCTGCTGGACCTGACGGTGGCCAGCATGCTGACGGGGCTGATGTCCGTGGGGCTGGGGGCGCCGGTGGATCTGGTCAAGATCCGCCTGCAGATGCAGACGCAGCCGGTCCTGGCTGGTAAGGCAGCGTTTGTGCGTTTGTGCGTTTGTTTGTTTGGAGATTTTGTGTGTTCACTTAAGCTAACGGCTTCTTTTTGGTCAGCTTTGCTGTTTGATGTGTGAAAACTTGCGTTTCACTTTTAAATTTCAGCTGAATTAGCTCCACGATGGAGGTCAGTAAGGATAGTCGGTGGTTCAGACTGGATTCCGCTGCCCGACCCCCCCCCCCTTTAAAAGCCCCCTCCCCCGGTCAGCCTAACCAGGTCACAAACATGGAAAGAAATAAAGCAAAAGAGAGAGAAAACAAAGTTTTGGGGCGATGGCAGCAGCAGTTAGGCTCCAATTTGGGAGAAAACAGGAGGATTTATCAGGGATAAAGTGAAAAATGTTCCACTTCACGTTGATTTTTTTGCATTTTTGGGATCATGTGATTCTTTCTAAATCCTGCCCGACAGAGCAAAGGCACCACACACCAAAAGGAGTGAATGACCAATGAGCTAGCATCATTTAAAAGTGAATCAAATGAGGCAGAGGAGGAGCAAATCCCGGCTTTAAGGCTCGTTTAGGTCCTGAATGAAGCGTCCTGGACACAGAGGCTGCAGATTTTATTCAGCCCCCGTTTGGGATTTGGGAAAAAGCAAAAAAAAAAAAAAAGGATACGAAGAATGCTTCATTTTCTGTGAAAACATGTGGTGTGTGACGGCTCAGATGTGGAGAAAATTATCCCAAAAGAAGCCGCAGAGTCCTAAAAGACATTTCATGAAGTGGGAGAAGTTTATTTTCGCTGTAAAAATGCAGGAAAAAGTTGTTTTTTTTAAATGGCCGTCTGAGCACCAGACGCATTCGCTTTGCAAACTTCCTCAAAGGAATTTTAGGCAGCATGGTGATGTGGTGGTTAGCACCATCGCCTCACAGCAAGAAAGTCCTGGGTTAGAGTCCCCGGGGGAACCAGGACCTTTCTGGGTGGAGTCTGCATGTTCTCCCTGTGTCTGTGGGTTCTCTCCGGGTTCTCCGGCTTCCTGCCACCGTCCAAAAACCTGCGTTTTAGCTTGATTGGACATTCCAAATGTCCCTTAGGAGTGAGTGTGTGTGTGGTTGTTGGTCCTTGTGTGTCTCTGTGTGGCCCTGCGATGGACTGGTGGACCATCCAGGGTAGGCTTTTCCCGATCCGATATTTGGATCGGCTGCTGTTATTCGCTAAAAATCCAGCATGAGAAAACACCGATCCAGTTTTTTTTCCCAGTCCGATCCCACATTAGCATTAGCATCTGTAACCCACAGCTCTGTGTCCTAACCATCAAGTTGTTATCAGAGTAAATCCCTGTTCAACATGAGTCTGACAACTAAGGAAGTAGATAAATAATTTTAAACTTTAACACACGCTCTGATAGGCCGGGATCGGATCAGAAAAATCCAGCATGAGAAAACACCGATCCAGTTTTTTTTTCCAGTCCGATCCCACATTAGCATTAGCATCTGTAACCCACAGCTCTGTGTCCTAACCATTAAGTTGTTATCGGAGTAAATCCCTGTTCTACATGAGTCTGTCAACTAAGTAAGTAGAACAAATAACTATAAACTTTAACACATGCTCTGATAGGCCGGGATCGATATCGGAAGGGCAAAAAGCTGGATCGGGACATCCCTGGTCCAGGGTGTACCCCGCCTCTCTCCCATTGACCACGGGGATAGGCTCTAGTACCCCCACGACCCCATTAGGAATTAAGTGGTTTTGATAATGGATGGATGGAATTTTACAGCCCGGAAAGCGCCAGAAAGATGAGTCGGGACAAAGTGAAGCTAGCTCGGGGTCTGGGGGTCTCACTCTGTACTTGTGCCCCCTCAGAGAACCTGCACCTGGCGGGGACGGGCCTCCGGCAGTGCTCGCTGCAGCTGACCGGCCGGCGGCCGCACCGCGGCCCCCTGCAGTGCGTCAGCAGCATCCTGCAGGCCGAGGGCCCCCAGGGGCTGTACCGGGGGGCCGGCGCCATGGTCCTGAGGGACGTGCCGGGCTACACGCTCTACTTCCTGCCCTACGCCGTGCTCTGCGACCTGCTGAGGCCCGACGGCTCGGCCAGCCCCCACCCCGGCGCCATCTGGCTGGCCGGAGGACTGGCAGGTGAGTCCGGGGCTTAGCCCAGGTCATCTAGGAGCCGGGTTCAGGTCAGGGGGCTAAGAGGGGCAAACTGGGTCAGGGGTCTGCGTTAGAACCAGGACCAGGAGGAAACCTCTATTAGAACCAGGATCAC